TACATAATAGCTTGGTATTTCAAGAAACATGCCATGACTAAATGGGCAAATCTCTACACAAATATCCTATGACGGGTTCTGAATGAGTGATTAAACTTCATGCCTGTCTGGGACATGCATTATTTGTCCTATTTTGGATCATTGCATTTAGCTTGTTGATGTAGCTCGGATGTCACTATCACCACAAATATTAAGGTAGAAAATATCCTGCTGTAACAAGTATTCCAATAATAGGTAACTCTTTTCTTTTTAGTGAAGGGGGAGAATGGTTGATCAGCCAAAGCTCTTACATTGTAGTAATCTTTGCTCTACCAAGTATACGGTTGTTCGGAGGTGGTTGTCATTCTTGGCATTGACCGGAGGTACTTGCTGGTCTCCTGAGTCACTAGCTCCAAATAGAGGCTAAAAATGCTATTTCGGCAGTGATCCCAGCCTATGGCTGGAGAGGCTGCACTAGAGACCCAAATTGGATCCTCTTGCAGTAGCATGTTACACTTACTCTGGTCTTCAGGTCCAGGCTCAAGAAAAACAAGCTTCCTGAGGCTATGAAGGGGTAGAAAACTCTCTTGTTGTGGTCAGTACTTGTGCGTTTAGAAAATTATGTAATTTTTAATGCATATGTGGTTAAATTGGATGCATTTATTGGGAAGATGAAGATTTACAAATATGGCACTAGTCTGTGTGCTTAACTTGCTTTTGTAAATGCTTGTCAAAATAAAGCTGTAGATTTTTACAGGAAAGTGTAAAATTAAGGTGACCCCTGAGCCTCTCAAACTACTTCAGTTGCTCTTTTCAGTATTCTATATATGCTGGAAGAAGTGGAATCCAAACTTATCCCATAATGAAATTGTAAGTATGTGTAGCTGACTGCACTGGTGCACCGGGGTCCTCTTTTGAATGAATGATTCTGGAGGTTAGTAATAGCCTTCCTTAAAGTCTAGTCTCCAGTAAACCATAACAAATTAATTTTAACCTCTCAAATGCTAAATACTAACAACACAAGCAAAGACCTTTGTAGATGACTGCAGCTTGTTTATTATCAATAGGTTCTGTCTTGACGTCTACGTTTATGAGGTTTGGAGTTCAGCAATTTTTCTTGTTAGAGGTTGTCTAAAGGCAACTTCAGAGTGATAGGAATAGCAACATGGAAGCTTAAGTAGTCACTTAAGCATCAACTAACTTAGGGTTTTCAGACTAAGTGGGAAATGTGTATAATACAATTGTAGTCTTTTCAAAATGTCTCACAACATTGATCTCCTACAGTTAGTTAAATAATAGAGGGAGAATGATATTAAGAGGCACAGACAAGGGAGAGACTTTTTCAAATGAGATTTGAAGTGAGATGAACAGTTGATGAGCTGGGAAAATCCAGAAAGACTGTTCCAGAGAGCAGGAGCTGCAGAGAAGGTTCCATAACTTCAGAATTGTGGCAACAAACAGGTGATACAGAAGTAGAGAAACAGTGTGCAAGACAGAGTAGAGCGAGATCATGGAGAGCTTTGCAAAACAGAGCCACATTGGAACTGGATCCTGAAATAATCATTGGAGGTGGCTGGAGAATGGGGATAATGTAATCGTCACTTGGGTACGTAAATGCATCTCATTTTTTCACTCCCTAGATAGTTATGCTTTTTTTCTTCTGCGGTGGAATGTATTTGGAGTTTGATTCAATGGGACGTTGACTTGATGACGTTTTCATTACATATGACATTCTCTGCAGTTATCTGGAGTGTACAGTGGTTAGGATTAGTTAGGTCTGAAAAAAGGCCTTTTTTGCCTTTTCCCAGATTAGCACTCACTTGACTATATTAAGAGCATATCTACATGGGGACACTAAGAAAGTTGAGGTGAATCAACTAAAGGTGTGACGTGAATGTGCGTAACTCAAAATGCCTTAACTCCTCTCTGTGGGTGCTCTCACTCACCGGTAAAGTGGCCTTAGGGTACGTCTTCCCTACGATTAGGACGTGTGATTGCAGCACATGTAGGCATACCTGAGCTAGCTCGCTAGAAATAGCAGAGAAGCTGCTATGGCACGAGCTAGCTGCTCAAGTATGTACCCAGTGTCCTGGGTGGGCTTATGCTTGGGTATCTATCCCATGCTGCCATGGCTTCAGCTTCTCTGATATTTTTAGTGAGCTAACTCAATCAAAACTAGCTCTGGTAGTCTTACACAAGCTGCATTCACGCCTCCTAATTGCAGTGTAGATATACCTCCTCAAAGGATTAAATTACAGTGAACTAAGGCCAATTTACTCTTGAATGAGAGAGTATCCATATGGGTGTTAACACACTTTAATTTATGCACATTCAGTTCATGGCTTTAGTTGATTTGCCGGAACCTTCCTGAGTGTCCCCATGTAGAGAAGCCCCAAAAGTCTGGATACTCCAGCACAAAAGGGAATTTTACAGTGTGATGCCAAACCCCACAAGGCTGGTTTTTGTTGATGTTTTTCCCAGTTTGGAATATCCAGATTATAGTAGAGTTGTGGGGTATCCTTGGTGGAAACATTGAGTGCAGGTGAAATATTTGTGTGGTTAATTTTACTACATTTACTTTCTAGTTAAGGGCTCAATCCTGCAAGTGCTGTGCATTTTCAACACTTGCTAACTTAAGTAGGAGCTAAGGGTACTCAGCACCTCGCATACTGATGTTTAGTACCTGCCAGTATTGGATCTTGCATCTTTAGTGGTTTTCCTCTCCTTAAAACCAATTCACAGAAATATATCTTGCTGGCTACTGTTTTTAACGCAAATCCTCCTTTTCAGAGACATCCTGAACTGCCATTCTCTCAACGGCACTTTGCCACTAATCTAGATTTACCACAGCTAATTTCTGCATGTAGCACAGTTGTCTGCTCTTGCATGAAGTGAGACTTTTTCAGACTTTTGTAAAAATGAAGTTTCCTGTTTCTGAATTAGTCTCTGGAAAGGTCTGCTATCAGCACTAAATGAAATATTGCTTGATGTGCAGTTTGCTGCATTAATGTTCATGTTTACTAATGATTTACGCTTTTTTGCCCTTTCCCCCTCCCTTTCCCTTCTCCTATTTCTTTCCCTCCTTTTCTATTTTCTCCTCCTAGAAGCCTAGACTGTCTTCTAACACTGGGGCTGCTACTGACACAAGACCAGTGTACTTTTCTACCTGCCATTACAGTTCTAAAACCTTCGGCATTTTACAGAGCTCTTGCTTTACATCCCTGGAGTTTACGTGTAGAAGAAACGTGTAGCTCTACCGTCCCGCTGTCAGCTGATCAGCCCTCCTCCTCCTCCTCCTCCTCCCTCTCTCTGCAGTGCTTGTTGAAACCTTCCTTTCTTTGTGTAAGCACAAACGTGCATGACAGATTTTTTTAACTGCACAATTTTAGCAATTTGTCAAGGCTACTTTTTAACTTACCTTTACAATTCCATTTTTATTTAATCCATCTTTTAAAAAAATTAAAAATTCACTGGGGTTTTAATTCTTAACGAAGGGTTTGACAGTAAATCCAAGCTGTGCTTTCATAGGGGATGGGTCCACCATGACTGCAGCTCTCCTCTTTCACCATCACCGAACACATCCTTAGAGTAATCCTGAGCTCCACCTGCCTTTGTCCTTGCTGCTTAGAAACCTTTGTGAATAAGGATTTAAATTTAATGATGCCATTTTCTTTGCTAAGAAGAGGTGGCTCTTTATAGGATCTACTATAGAGACTTTAAATATAATTATTCCCAAATTTGCATCTACTGAGACCTAAGGAGCTTTGTCTTTTCTTTT